TCATAATTATTATATTCGACAATTCATTTATTATATGGTACTGTTGTCCACTTATTTAAATACTTTTACAAATTCATAGACTCTAATTGTAACAACATTTGTATGAATATGAAATATTAAATGAGAAAATATTTACATTTTGCTTTGAGTATACATGCTACTAGATATTTATATTAATGAGAAGGATAACCACCTGAATTAAATATGTGCTTTATGATATTGAGTATGTACTATTATAATATATTTGTGGTAAGGTTCATTGAACATTTGCAGAGAGAAATGAGTAGGTACCTACCTAAAATAAAAAATGTATTTTATGTCTATTCTATACCTACAGCCACAGTGTAGGGATTAGGGAATACTTAATTACTTAACCTTTAAACCTACAATACGCAATCAACAATAAACTCAAATCAGAGATAAAGAAGAGTATAACTACCAATTTAAAATTAACCAGTGTAAAAAAACGATAAAGATGAACCTCTTCGGTAATCTTTGGAGGGCGTATTCGGGCTATGCTTTTTATGAACTAGGCGTGTCGAATGTGATCAGTGATCACTGATCAGTATGTTCTGTGATGTGATGTGACAGTCTGAACTCACTGCATTGTTGCACCAAAATTTTCCATTATTGGGAGAAATAGTCTATTTCTACATAAACACGAAATCATTATCATACATATTTGCGGATATTCTCTATATTGCTGTATTTTATATATTTTTCCTTTGTATGTATAACAAATTATTACACAATTAGGTAGGTAAAAGCTGATTGATCATAATTTACCCCCCGGCCCCCTTAAAATATCCTTCTTTTCGAGTTTAGAAAAAAAATTAAAAGCAAAAGTTATAGGTACAAGATGATATGAATATTCTAACTATAATACAAAAATATATAGGGTTAACATTAAAGCCGTGGCAGATTAAGTGATGAAACCCTATATATCATTTTATATTAGAAAGCTACACATTTTTGCTATTCCAGTGATATATACTTTTTGTGTATTTCATCCAACATACATACAGTGTGTGTTGTTATAATAATATCCTCGTTTAATAAACATACACCACTTTTAACTTTTATTTTCATCAAGAAAAACACATACAACGTACTCTCGTAACGTAATTCGTAATACCATTAGTGGTGGGCAAGATCCGCATCATACGTATAAATCATACGGATCTCTAGTGGGAATCGATTCATGCGGATCCCGATGCAATAATAATTTCGTATGTTTCGCATCACCGCATCAATGTAAGTTGAGACTGAAGTGAAGTGAATCGGTATCAACTGATTCTCGTATGCGATACAGGAATGAGTAAATGGGAGGCGCACGCATACTGGGAATCAGTTCATACGTATACCGGTATAAAAATAATTTCGTATGTTCGCATCACCGCATCAATGCGAATTGGGAATGAATCGGTCTCAACACTCTCAACTGATTCTCGTGTCCGATACAGGTCGATGAGATACGATGCATTAGAAACAGTTTAGTGCATAGGNTGTCAAGAAAAACACATACAACGTACTCTCGTAACGTAATTCGTAATACCATTCTATCATAGATCATAGAAAACAATAATCATACTAGTGACAAGTGATACCAACATAACATTTTTCTAACACTCGGCCTATCCTGACCTTATCTTGGTCTCCAAGATAATAACTTAAATATAATTAACAAAACAATAAGTATTACTAATTTAAATCATAATCATCTAAATATAATGGCTTCCTACGAGATCTTACGCAAGTATCTTCCTTCTTAGAATCCTTCTCTTCAGTATTTCTCTTTTCTTTCTCTTCTACATCGTACTCTGGCTCGTTGTAACTTTCTTCATCGGTTTCGTCATCTTTATTTCTCCATATTTTTACTTGACTTACATGAACAGTAGTCTTGTAACTTTTGCCTTCATTTTCTAATAACTGTGAGACTTCATAGGTGTCGCTGGGTAAGACTCTAGTTATTTTCATCGGTCCTTTGAATCGGGGTTGCAATTTTGTCGAATCTCCTGTAGCTTGTGGATTGGTCTTGATATATACTATATCTCCTATATTATAAGTCAATCCTTTATATCTCTTCATGTCATACCTGTTTTTATATTTCTTTTGTTCGACTTCTATATTTTCTCGGATTTCTTCCCTCAATTCATTCGGAATCTGATACGTTTCGTTTGCTATTGTTAGGAATCGTGTTTGCCCATCTTCGAACCGTGGAATATATCCGTATAATAATTCAAAAGGTGTTTTGTTAGTCGTTTTATTAACGGAAGTGTTTACGTCTCTTTCGATTTTCTTAATGCTTTTATCCCATTCCTCTTCTTCTCCATGAATACTTGCTTGCATCATTGGTAATAATGTGCGGTTTAACCTTTCAACTAATCCATTCGCCTGGGGATGTCTGCTAGAGTTTAATGTATGCTTGATACCATATTTCTGACAAAACTTTTTAAATATTTTAGCCGTAGCCGTTTTAGCCGTTTCAGTAATTATACGCATCGGTGAACCGAACTTTTCAATAAATTTTTCCATTCGTTTTACTGTAATTTCAGCTTTTGTGGACTTTACTGCTTCTAATTGTACGGACTTATAATGAAGTTGTCTATCATTACTAATAGATACTTATTTCCTCGGGGAGTAGTTACAAAGGGGCCTAAGTGGTCTACATGAATAGTCGCAAAAGGTCGCTTTCCAGGTGGTATTAGATGAAGATACCCTGGCTGTATACCAGTACTATTTTTCGACAGAATACATTCGAGACACATCCTTATATGACGATCTATATATTTCCTCATACCAGGAAAATAGTAATAGTTTATCATTTTTGCAAAAGTTCTCTCAGTCCCGCAATGACCCATCAAATCGTGATATTTTATAACCAATGACTTTCTCATATTTTTAGGTACCACATATAAATTACTGTCTTTGTTGTTTAACTTTAATGTATTATATAAGATTCCATTTTCAAGTTTATAGTTCCGCACGTCATTTTTATCTCTATCACTCCACTCTTTGCTATCCTTTTTAAGTATGTCTATTTTTCTTTTTATGTTATTGTCCGAGTATTGAAATAACACTATTTCTTCTTCACGTGTCGTAATCGAATACATACACAATTTATCAACAATTACCTCATCAATGTCCTTTTCTGGCTCTTCTACAGGTGCTCTTGACAAAGCGTCAACATGTTTCATGGATGTTCCTGGTCGATATTTTATGTTAAAGTCATATTCGCTAAGTGTATTGAACCATCGAATTACTTGTGCGTTTTTGGTTTTATTCTTGTTGAGAAAGACAAGTGCTTGACAATCTGTTACTACCGCGAACTTAATTCCTATTAAGAATACACGTAACCTCTCCACAGCCCATACTATTGCAGCCATTTCTAATTTTCTTGAATGATAAGATTTTTCTGTTTCGGAGGTTCATCTACTTATAAAATACACAGGATGTAAATTTTTATAATCGTCGCCTTGCAACAACATTGCTGCTAACCCAATTGCACTTGCGTCTGTATGCAACTCTGTTATATTAACCTTTGGACTGTAAACGTGCAGTACAGGTCGTGACGTTAAAATGTTTTTGATTTTGTTGAATGTGGCCTCCTGTTCTGCTTTCCATATAAAAGGTTGTCCTTTCTTAGTTAGTCGTGTTAGGGGTTCTGTTATTGAAGCGAATCGTTCAATGAATCTACGGGAAAAGCTTGCCATACCTAAACATCTTCTTACATTATGTATGTTTACTGGTCGAGGAAATTGTCTGATAGCTTCTAATTTTCTTGTACCTGGTTCAATTCCATCTCCTGAAAGTACATAACCTAGATATTCCATTTTACGTTTAGCAAATTCACATTTAGCTAACTTAATGGTTAACTTGGCGTTTCGCAATAATTCTAGTACTTCTCTTAATCTGCATAACATTTCATTGAAATCTTGAGCAAATATCAGTATATCATCAAGGAAAAATATAACAAAATGTTCACGAAAAGGTTCTAATACAGTTTGCATTAATCTTGAGAAGTAAAAGGGTGCGTTCATTAATCCAAACATTGTTCGGGTAAATTCTCCTGTTTCATCGGGTGTAATAAAGGCTGTTTTCTCTCGGCTCTCTTCAGATAAAGGCATTTGTAAGTAACCATGGGCTAAATCTAATATTGTAAATATATTACTATCTTTTATTAAGGATAAATGATCATCCAAATTTGGCAATGGATAGTTAATCCGCTTTGTTTGCATATTCAACTTTCTATAGTCAACAACTAATCTTGCTTCTCCAGTCTTTTTGGCAACTAGCAACACGGGACTAGCATATGGTGAAGTGGTTTCTTGTATTATGCCAGCATCTTTCCATTCGGTTACAATTTCTTTAATTTTTCTTCTATTGTCTGGATTCGTTTTGTATGGTTTGCACATAACAGGTGCACTTCCTGGAACTTCTTCAATTTTCATCTCAACACAATTTGTTTTTCCTATTTCATAAATGTTTTTTGCTATACAATCTCTGTATTCATTTAGTAAGCTTGTTAATTTTCCTCGGCCTTCACTATTTATATCTTTATCAACATTTAACTCTTCCTCGTTTACCGGTTCTACTTCTCTGGTTTCAATAACTTGCGACAATTCATTTAGGGTTAATATCTTCTCATTTAATTGGATACCGCTTCGTATATTTCTGTCTTCATTAGAAAAATTTATCTTTGGGATAAAATGTTCTACATTGTCGGCTTGCACATTTAAAAATAACATGGAATTTGGATTCACTGTACAGTTTTCTGTTACTTCTACATTACTGATGTTCTCTGCGATAGGAATCGAAAGTTTAATTTTGTCTCTTTCTTCAAAACACAATTTATCATTCACTTTGTAATAAACAATATGATTTAATTCTGTGAAGGATCTACCTATAATGACGTCTGTTGATTGAACATCATCAGGCACCATTCTCAATTTTATGTTTTTCGCTCAAACATTGTCAACACGTAATTCTACGCATATTGTTCAACATAATTTTACTAAATTTGCAACATTACCAAATCCTTTGAAATCACATTCTTCTTTGTTTATTTGAAAGCTACCCGAAATGGCAGGTGTTGCTTTAATGGTGCAATCACTACTACCAGGATCTATCATAGCTATATAATCTACTCCATCTAATGTCACAGTCTTAATGTATTTGGCCATAGAATTTGTCAGTCCATTGTTAATTAATTTAACTTCTCCTCTCTCCATTGGTTTTGGTTTCGTACAATGACGAACTATATGACCTTCCTCATTACAACGTAAACATGTGTAAACCCGTTTCTCCTTTTGGCACTGCTTGGCTATGTGTCCGTATTCATCACAATTGTAACATTTCATTTCTCCTTTTTCATTCTTCAAAGGCGGCCTTAAATTTTTCTTGTTAACATATTCTTTCATTGTATCCGGTACACTACTTTCATTATTAATTTTACTATTCCTCTCATGTACTCGTTCTACTCGAGCTGATTTAATTCTTTCATAATGCAAAATATCTTTAAAGAGTTCGTTTTCATCTTTATGAACTTTAGTGATTAGGAAATTAGCTAGTTCCTTTGACCATAATCCTATGACTACCTGCTCTTTGGTTTCCTCGAAGTCTAAATTCAGTTCTCGACATAAAGTTATTTTCTCATGGAAATATACACTGACATTTTCTTTTATGCCTTGAATGCGTGACTGCATTTCTTTCCATAACTCGGTTTTAGATTTACTCATTAAAAATGTGTTAGCAAATGCGGTTTTGAATTTTGTCCAATCTGTTATATCATTACGACCTCTATACCAAAATTTTGCTGCTCCACATAAGTGACTTCGTGCCGTCTCAAATACAAACGCTTGTGGCCATGAATGCAAATTTGCTGTGGTTTCTAATTGCTTGAGCCACAATTTAGCATCTTGGGGTCCACTTTCTCCAGTAAAATCTTCAATAGTCTTACTAAAGTCAGGCATTACATGGAAGTTTCTCACATGTTCGTCAGACATACTACTGCTAGGGCGGTGTTCTTGCATATTTGGATAATTTTAATTTTTGGTAAGAAAAACACATACAACGTACTCTCGTAACGTAATTCGTAATACCATTCTATCATAGATCATAGAAAACAATAATCATACTAGTGACAAGTGATACCAACATAACATTTTCTATATACAANTACTACTACTACTACTACTACTACTGTTGGATGTTGAAAAGATAATGTAAGGTTAGAAGTAAAAAGAGAAAAAGGCGCCCTTTACGTAGATCTTTTGAAGATAAGAGTTCGTTGCAAGCAAAGCGTTGATAAAAAAAAAATAACGAACAGTTTTAGTAAAACACCCTTTCATTGAAATGAGCGTACAATTTCTTTAAAATGGTGGGTGGTGGTGTCAAATTGACTTCAAGATTTGTGTTCAGCGGGTCCGAAACTATGGCGGTAAGGTTATGGAATCTAGAATACAGATCAGCTTCTCCCACGGTGTTACAATCCTTAATCATATTCCCAATAAAAACATTTTTTGATAATCTAGGAACTTTTCTTCCAAAAATGAATGCTGTCGCTAAACTGACTTCGGATTCGTGTTTAGTCGGTCGGAAAACATGGCTATAATAGGGGCTGATAAAAAACTACTTTTATGAGCCTGTGAATCAATTACTTTATTATATGGACGCCTTATTGATTTATTATGGTTAAAAAGGATATTGGATTTGCACTTTTTTTTGGAAATGTCTTGAACTAGTAACAATATTTCAGATTTAAAGAATTATGGTTTGTTACGGGTTGTTATGTCATGACCTATGTATTGGGCGCACTTCCTTAGATTTAGCTAAGAAGCTTTGACCTGCTCTTATTGTTCTGTGCGGAGGGGACCGACCATCAGAATCTATAGGCCCGTCTTGATGTTCATTTTGGTTCCTGTTGGTTCTAAAGGGCCCCAAACTTTTTGGAGTTTACACCGATTTATCGGTGCGGGTGAACCCGTACCGACAAAATGGAGAGTGTATGGTGATCACTCCGTCCATTTTTATCCGCGCGGGTGAAATCTGTCGCTGCTAGGTTTTATCGGTACGTATATGACCTGTGCCGATAAGTTGAGAAATGTACGGCGAATATCGTCCGGGCTTTTTCATTAGCGGCGAAGTCAAGGGAAACGTATGTAAATATTATATTAATCACTAATGGCTACTAAAGAGTTTTGGCTTGAATTTATATCTATATACAGAAGTTTTCCCTGCTTGTGGAAAATTAAATCTTCCGAATATCATGACCGGATTACAAAAAGCAAAACATATGAAGAGCTAGTGAAAAAATTAAAAGAAATTGACCCAAATGCGACAAAAGATACGGTTATAAAAAAATATATAATATGCGAAATTGTTTCCGGAAGGAATTAAAGAAAATGAAGTCATCACAAAAATCAGGTGTGTAGATTAGTTAGGCGGGTTCTGAACCGGAAGTGACTCGGATGGCCAGTGTCCATCGAGTTCGGCGCACGGGTTCAGCGGCTTCTTGTGGGCATTGTCGTTGTGCAAGAGACGCGTTGGTGTTGGTGTACAAGAAGTGTCATGGCGGCACGGGGGTGGCTACCTGTGGAGGCTGAGGGCAGGTGTTAGGCCGTTAGGAACAAGACAATATGGCGGTGGTCTGCGTGGAAGGTGATTGGTCGTTTGGGATAAGATGGCGGCGGTCTGCGTGGAGGAAGGCTGAAGAGGAGGGCGGGTAGCTAAAGAGTTGGTCAATGACCAGAGGATTAGTTCGGAATTCTGCCGCCAGGATTTTATAGAAGTCGCTGTTATGAGGAGGCGGGTCTGCATGGCGGCGGGCGGCGTGCGGGGTACGGCGTACGGGGTGTGGCGGGCGGTGTGTGGCACGTAGCGGCCACGGTCCGTAAAAAAGACCGTCGAGTAATAGCCAGAAATTATAGGCGTGGCTTAACTCATGCTACGTCACAAGATTACTAACTTTTAGAATTCATGTTTGTAAGGGACTTAACCAGTAAATTTATATTTTTTAAAATATTTAAGTAAATCTTCGTGGTTGGTTGGGTATTTTGCAATAACTAGTTAGTTATTAATAATAGTTTTTAATAAGTTAATGGTGTAGCGTTTAATATAAACTATTAATTTACCACGTAAAAATGCCAGGTGTGATGTGTAGTGTTGTAATTTGCAACAATAATTTTTATAGTGCTAAACAAGACAATTTAAAAATTTCCTTTCATGTGTTTTCTAAGGATAAAAAACTTGGGTGGAACGGTGCAAGAGACGCGATTTGTTTAATCCTTCAACTTGACATATTTATAGTGCACATTTTGAAGATTTAGACTTTAAACGCGATCTTCAAGCAGAGCTATTAAGTTTACCTCCAAGAAAAAGACTTTTAAAGAAAACAGGTATGTTTATTAAAACAATAGAGCAATAATTTAATTAAATTATTACTGGTTATTATATTTAACTATAATGAAATCAGCACTATCAGCAGATAACCTACCATGTTTTGCTTTACAAAGTTGTACCTATCCTAGGTACATACTAAATATATTAAAAACCAGATGACAGGGTGTAATATTTTACATAGTTTTTTTTATATGAAATTATAATTAAAATGGTTCGTCCCGTACAAATATATTAAATCTACTAATATATTTGGTCCCTTATGATACGTATAATTCAGTATAATAACTCAGAACCTATATAAAACTGAAAAAAACTTCTGTTTTTATAAAATTCTGAATATTTATTTATAGGAAGTGAGTTACTGCACAAGACCACAATATTTTTTGGTACTTTACTTAATTTATAGGTTATTTTCATATATTCAAAAATTTACACAGAATTCTATGTAACATTCTATATACAATTTTGTACCGTGTCATATGGTCTTAACATGTATGTAATAAGTTATGTAATATGACTTTCATTTAATTTCCAGCTGTACCCTCCAAAAATTTGAAACTTATAGAAGACACGAAGAATAATGTTGATCGTTTGCAGAGAGCAGAGGTGCGTGATAATAAGAAATTAGTAGAGGAGTTGTTGCACAATGCTAATACTGATTCCATTTCAAATGTAGCTGAAGTTGAAGATGAAGAAGATTCTTTAGAGATAAAGCACCAAAGGTTACTAGAGAAGGTGAAATATGATAATTTAAATATAAAAAATCGTCCTGGTTACATCTATCGTTTGGTGGTTTAACAGTTCCAAGTGAAGAGTGGCTTGAGAAAGCAAGAACTTTAGAGAATGTTTTTATTAAATATAATAAGCATGCAATTTATAAAAAGAAAAACATCGTAACGATGATTTCAAATAAAATACAGATGAAACATCCAAATTTCTCAGAGGACATTATAAAACCGTTTATTCTTCAACTGACATATATAAGGTTGAAACACTTGAATTCCCAGAAAAAAAGTTGTGCAAATAAAAGGAAAGTTTCTTGTGATAGAAAGATTTAAAAAAATGAAAAAGATATGTACCTAAAGTTCACTTTTTATTTTTATTATTTATAATATTATCATTGTTTTTGTGTACTCTAAATTTCCTCTGTGTACAAGATGATCTAAAAATGTTAAATTTCTATTTAACTGATTGTATTCACTTCAAAATGATTTATGTTTTTACACTATTTAAATTCAAAAGGGTTAGTTCTATAAAAGATCTAGGTGTATTATTAAACTTTAAATTTATTGTTGTTGTTGTATAACAAATTGATGTGATTGTTAGAAAAGCGATTGGAAATTTTAAGTATCTATCAAAATGTGATTTTAATATTTTTGTAAAACTTGACAATTTTTCTTAAAATTAAATGTTGTTAAAAGTTCTGTGAAGATAACTTCAATTCCTTTTATTCCTCCATTTAACTCCAAACACTGAAAAATTCTGAGAAGGCTAGAAACTACGGTATAGTTTACTTGTAAACACAGATTATTTTTACTTAGGTATGTTATTTGAAATTTAATTAGACAAAAATAGATAAAATAAGATCATATAAATTGTACACAATTTTTATTTTGGAGGCAAGATAATAGCTCAAAATTGTTTATACAGGGTGTCTCGTTCATGTTTCAAAAAAACTTGTGTGCAAGTTCCTCATGGGAAAATAATAGGGGTAGTTCATGTATCGTTTTTTTCTTAGACGCCCTGTGTTCCAGATACAGTGTGTTGAAGATGTTATTTTCCAAATGGTTTTCCTTAATTATTATCTTTAAATCAACTAAAGATAAAAATGTAAAAATTTGTACACGAGTAAATATCAACTGTGCGTTAAGAATAATGTGCAAACGGTTTCTTTCTGAAAAGCAGTGTTGCCGATACAGGTAATTGAAGGGGTACAATTGAAAAAAAGATATGTTAAAAGTCAAAGTTTGTTACATTTCTAAACGGTTCTGTAAACTCTAAAGCAGACTACAAAAAAAGGTATACTTATCGAAATTCGGTAGTATATACCAATCTCAAGAAAAATGAAATTGCATTTTTTTGCTCATAAGACGTCACAAGTACATTTATAAAATATTAAATTAAAAGGACTTTACCATTCAATTAGTTGAAGACATTTAGCTACCAACAGTATTTGCATTTAAGACTATAATTTTTATTTCTTATGTATCACATGAAACAGTTAAATTGTAAAACATTAACTAAATAAAAATAAAATTTTTTATAACGTTCAGCTTGTTACAAGCTAACAACTAACAAAAAAGTAAATAAAAATAAATGATTATGGCAATTAATTAATAACTTATTTTAGATTTTGTGAACAACTACACTATCATTACTAAAATAAACAATTGTTGAATGGATTGAATTGTTGATGGACATGAATGTTTAAAAAAGTGATAAGATCAGAAAAATATTAGGAAACGGACTCGGAGACAAACAGAATAAAACAGCTACGCAATTAAATGAATGAGCAAAACTCGAAATACTACAGTAGATGCTGAAATTGTCTCCCCATTTGAAGCAAATACAATACAGTTGATATTTACTCGTGTACAAATTTTGA